CCCCCCCCCCCCCCCCCCCTCCCTGCTGATCTTTTCTTGTGTTTGTTTTCTAGCCTGTTTCTGTTCTTCTTTCGTTGTTGTTCGCACACTGTTTTCTGCGTTGCTCGGTTACTACTGCACCCCCACCACGTGCTGTGCACCCGCGAGGCACACGAGTGACCTCCCCCGTTGGTGGGAGACCGTCTGTTGAGCGCGGGCGGGCTTGCTGCCTATGTAAGCCGCGCGCGTGCCGAATACAGGGGACGTGCACTGCTATAAAGGAGACGACCGAGAGAAGTTTGGATGATGGAAGGAATGGAAGGAGTGGTAGAAACGTTTGGTGTGCTTGTTTTTCGCTTCTCTTTCTCTCTCCACCAAAGAAGCACTTGTGCCACGGTGTGTGTGTGTGTGTGTGTGTGTGTGTGTGTGCGGCAGACGCGCGCGTTGCGCCGGCACTAGAGCTGCCACCAACTAACTCTGTGTAGGTGTTTCCCTTTGAGCTCTGTTCTTTCTCCCCCACCCCCTTGCGTGTGTGCCGGGCTGCTTCTGCTTTGAAACTCAAGGAGCGATACATTTTGCGAGCGCAACAGTTCAAAGGTGTGCGTAGCACAGCAATAAAGGGCAACAAGCATAAAACAAATACATACACTCAAGTACAGCGCCGAGGTTGCTATTCGCGGACTTGCTATTTGACGGTTGCTCTTGCAAGAGAACGTGGCATTTGAAGACTTCAATATAACACAAACCATGCTGGGCGCGTGTTTCTTCTCTGACAGCCGTGCAGCGCGCTCTGTCACACCGCGCGTTTTGGTGTTGCTGCTGCTGCTGCTGCTGCTCGTCAGTTGTGTAGCGGTTCCCACGCGTGCCGACGATGGTGCGGTTGCGGTGCAGCTTCCGGCGAGCAAGGAGGAGTGCTTCTTTGAGGAAATCTCCAGTGTGGGGGTGAAGGTGTTCCTGCATTACCTGGTCACCTCAGGCGGCTCGATGGACATCGACGCGACAATCAACGGCCCCGACCGGTCGCTCATCTGGAGCTCGCAGCGGGACCCGGAGGGCCGCGTGCTTTTTAAGACTCGCGTGCCGGGCCGCCACCACTTCTGCTTCTCCAACAGGATGAGCACAATTACGGCGAAAGTTGTGGCCTTCTCCATCTCGGTGGGAGACGCTGGACAAGATGGAAACAAGGACCGTGTCGCGACGCAGAGCGACCCACTGGAGCGCTCCATCATGCGCATTCAGCAGGGTTTCCGCGAGGTACAGGAGGTGCAGCGCTACCTGAGGGGGCGCGAGCGTGTGCATCGCGCCACGACGGAGGTGGCGAACACGCGCGTCGTCGTATGGTCTGCGCTAGAGATCATGATCATCGTCTTTATGGGCGTAGGTAATGTATGGTACCTAAAGCGGATCTTCAACAGACGAAGAATCGTTTAGAGAAGGAGAGGTGTGAGTTGTTATGAGACATTTACGTATGCATGATTATCTATATTTATATAGTTATGCATCTGTGAATATATCTTGTTTTTCTGTTGTTCTTGTTCCGTTCCGGCTTCCCTGCCCCCCTGGCTGTCGGAATCTTCTCACTCCGCCTGTGTCTTTGGTGTGCGTGCCCCGGCCGGAAGAGGGGTGGACGGTGACAGCAGTGGGTGGAAGTGCGGATGAACGGGACATAGAGAAGCAAAAAGGAGAAACAAAGTGAAATGAATAGGAGCACCCAGATGGTGACAGCAACACGAGAGAAACGGCTGCAGTCGGGGTAACAACTCAATGGCTCCCTCACATATGTGCGTCCGTGTGTGGGAGCTGACTCATCACGTAGGGTGGTGGTGGTGGTAATCTCCGTTGAGGTAAATTTGCACAATGGAGTGACACGCGCACACAACCACATGCTGCTTCTCCCTTTGTCTAAAGGCGGTGGGTTCTTTCTCTCGCTTTTTCTTCTCGATTTTTATTGCTTGTTGTTGTTGTGGCTTGCAGGGTTTTCGGTGCTCGTGCCTGTGCCGGTTGGACGCCCCGTGTGCGATCTGCTAACGAAGGACTCGCGTCCACCGCAAGGGATCCGCAGCAGCACACCTACAGCGTGGAGGAGCGAATCGTATCTCACAACAGGAACAAGACGAACAGACAAAGACAAAGAAAAGAAAAAAAAAAGAACGGAAAAAACAACAACAACAACACAGGCAACGACAAGAGGACAAAAATGCCGCGAAAAGCTCTTTTAGGGAACTGGTTTGAGGAGGAGGCGTACATGCGCGACCGTCAGCGGCTCATGGAGGGCCGCAACGGTGGCCTCGTAGACGCCGCACGTGAGACGCAGCTCATCATCGCCAAGGTGAAGCACCACAGCACGCCCTATCCCATGTCCCCCGTGAACGAGGACGGCCTCCTCCACTTCTACACCCCCATTATGCTGCAGAACGCGGCGACGCTTGGCTTCTTGTCACTCGACCTGGAGGACCGCGCGCTGCGGCCCAGCGGCTGGCGCGTGGTGTGTTCGACCGCCCCCGCCAGCGGGCCGACGCTGCGCAACTGCTTCGTCCTCGCGCCTGCACCAACCGGGCCGACCGACATGATCGCCCCACCGCCGGGGGAGGAGGACGTCGTCCACTACGGCCAGCCATTCTTCATCATGACAGTGCCGGAGCTCTGCGACGACCCACTGTCGCTTGTGTCGGAGCACAAGGGACCCCACAGCGCGTCAAAGGTCACGGGGAAGTACCAGGACGTCTTCTTCTCCCCTGATGGTGCCTGCGCAGAGGCAATGTGGGTCGCGGACTTCGCAAACCAGGAGTACCGAGAAGACATGCGTGACAGGCCTGTAAAGGCAGATGCCGTTTTGGCGATGCGCCACAATCACACCAACATTCCGCTGGCGAGCACCAAGTCTGTGTTCTACAACGACTTTGGCCCGGAGTATGAAGTATGCTGCAATAAATTCGTCACGTGCGCCACAAAACTCCGTGCAGGCCACCTGCAGGATGAGAACTACTGGACCTTCGTCCATAGTGAAGAGGGCAAGGATGAGGAGCGGGAGGAAATGGCACCCGAGTCTGCTGAGAGAGTGGAGGCAGGTGGCGGCAACCACTGACACCAAACACGGTCCAAGAGATGTATGCATCTATTGTTTATTCATGTAATGTGTGCTGCCACCAAGGCGAACAGGTGAAGAGTTGGCTAATTAGAGTGGGTTACGTGTTGCTGAAGATACAATTGATATTTCTGTTGCCTGTTGTTTTTGTCTTTTTTTTGTTTTTGCTATGAGCGGGCCTTATTTGGATTTTGTTTATTTGGCGTATTCACATGGTGGCCTTTTTTTTGGATCTCATCTCCCTGCGCCCGTAGTAACTGGTGGAATAAAGAAACGAGGTATATAAATATACACAAATACAAACAGTTACACACACACATACAAAGAAACCATGCGATCATCATCGTGTGCGCTGCACACACTGGCAAAGTCTGTTGTGCTCTTTGTTGTGTGCCTTCTTTTCGTTGAGGGAACGCCGACCACATTCGCTGCTGCTCCGGACGACAAGCGGTTCCGCATCCATGGGCCGTCGTACGCTTACCTGGACTGTTCCGCCTGCGTCGCCTTCGCCGAGTACTTGGGTCGCCGCATGAACGCCTCCCTCGAGTACGACGGTAGAGGTGGTGCCAGTTTCCTTGCCACACATCGCCTCAGCGAGGGGAATAAGCTCAAACGGCGTGAGTATGCGACAAGTGAGTTGCGTGCAGTGGAGGTATTGGAAAAAATTTGCAACGATGCTCTTGAGGAGAACTACGTGCTTCGACTCGATACAGACAATCGCATCCGCGTGTATGAGTCGGAGAAGTCTGTTTTGCCGTTTGCGCAGTTCTACAGCACACAGGACTCTCAGGCGTTGAAGAGCACATCCAAGACGGCAGTGCGCGCTTTCTGTACACGCGTGATGGGCGAAGAGGAGGACGCAATGATGAACCTGGTGCGTGAGGTGCGGCAGTTGAATGAACTGGAGTGGCGGTTGTGCGGTGGGACCGTGAACAACACGTCGCCGCCGCCGCCGTCGCTGCCGGAGCCCGTCACCGCTGTGTGTGTCGGCACTGAGGCAAGCCTCCAGGCGGAACTCCGCCGTATTCAGCGATACGAGAAGTGGCAGGAGGGTTTCACCAAGCGGCGGGAGAAGGCAATCGAGGAGCAGGGCGGGGGCAGCGGGGAGCCAATAGAGCTTCAGCCGGTGGAGCACAAGGAGGGCGAGACGCCGAATTTTTTTTCGTTTCCTGGCTTGGATGGAGTAGCCTCGGGCGGTGCTGACGACGAGGAGAAGGACGAAGCAGCACCGGAGGACCTCTAGGTCCTGTCGTTTGATGGGACGTAAGTGAGGATGAAGGGCCGCTGACTATGTGCGTAAGTATGCTGTGCAACCTTGAATTTGTGCGCCTCTTTGTTCTTGTTTTATTCAATGGTTTATATATANATATATATATATATACACACAAACACACACCGAATGCTGATCACGATTCTTGAGAGGAATGTATAGCGGCCACGGATCCTTCTGACCCGCTCACCGCTGCTCATTCGCTGGATACACCCTGTTTGAATCATTTCGTGATATCTTGTTCTTCATTCCTTTTGTTTTTTATTTGGGAATTGTCTAAATATCTGAATAGAACGTTGTCTCGCAAGTTTTAAGTGAAACTAGATATATTTAACAACAAAAAAGAATTGTCAACACCTAGGCATAACTTTGGTGTGTTTATTGTTGAATTTTTTGTCGTTTTGCGGTGTTTTTTTTTTCCCTTTGACCGGATCACATGTCCGAGGGTGGACCGCCGCCGGGCGTCAATATGCCGAAGAAGCGTGACCCACGCCTTCGCGGTGTGCAGCAACCGCCGCAGAAACAATTCTTTGACTCGGCGGACTACGAGGTGCGGAAACAGCAGCAGCTCCATCAGCCGCAGCAGAAGCCGGGAGGAGGCATTCCGAGGCAGGCGAAAGCACTCCCCTCTCCACCACCTTAAGGCATAAGGAGTGGGAGAGAGGTTGAGATGGAGAGGTGGGGGGCGGGTGCTTCCATTTCTTTCGGAGGGGACACGAAAAGAACCCACAGACACGGAGCCAAGCGAAACCTTCCTCATAGCGTAGAGTGTTTACAAGCGACGGACGATACTTGTGTTGGGGAGGGAATGGGGCATAGGTGTCTGTGTGTTGAAGGGAGAGGGACGGCGAGCGGAAGAAGGAATTGCAAGGGAGGAACAGAAGCAGAAGCTACACTTGTGCTTGCTCTGCCTAATGCAGGGAAAGTGTCTATGCGACCTTAACTCTGCGTTCCTTGTTTTGTGGGGGGAAGGGACGGAATTGTCTGAGCAGTGCTGGTTGTCGGCAAGTTCCCTCTCGTTCTTGGTCGGCCTATTGTTGATATCTTCACTTGGGGCCGATGTGTCGGTGTTATTGTGTGCTTGATCCTGTGTAGAGTTATCCTCAATTTCTTTGTATTGGTCACCCAACCATTGTTTATGACTGTCCCTCGGGTTGCCCAATAAGCCCCTCGTGTATGTGTGTGCTTTTCTTTCCTCCTCATTTAAATTTTTTTCTCTCTTTTTCTTCTACCTTTGTCACCGTTTGTGTGCATCTGCGATTTCCTCTTTCTGCCCACATCAATACAAAGCAATTGCGGTGGGAGCGAAGGTGACAGCGGCCGCAGGCGAGCGTAAGCGAAGTAAAAGAACCGATACAAAAAGGGGGTTGCGTGCGGATGTCGCAGGAGGCCCTCGCGCTCCTTGAGGGCAACCCATTCCGGGGAAACCAAAACGCCAGCACCACGTTTGAGAGTGGTCGCGAGGATGGACTCACAATTGCCGAGGAGATAAAGCGTGATGATGCCATGATGACGAAAGAGCTCTCGGTGCTCTCACGCCGTCCCGAGTCTAAATTCCTGTCGACACATACTGTCTCTGTTCGCGGTGACGCCGCCACGTGCCCGCCTTCACGTCGTGTCGATCGCACGCCAAAAACTGTGGAAATAAAGGAGATGCATAGCACTGGAACATTCATCGCCAAAAAGCGGGAGGTGGGCCTCATGCGTCTTGCGCTCGCCAACAAGGAGGCGGAGATACGCCATCTGGAGGGGGAGATGGATCGTGTGGAGAAGCGACTTCGCCAGCAGCAGGAACAGCTCGCCAGCACGGAGGAGAAGTTTAACAATTTCCTCAAGCACAGCAACTTGGAGCAAGATGCCGCGGTACGCCGTGCAGAGGTGGAGAGCAAGGCTAAACAGGAGCGACTCATCGATATCAAGAAACTCTCCGCTCAGATCACTCATGTAGAGCAAGATATGCGCAAAACTGAGGCCCAATTGGAGCTATGCATGGAATATAAGAACTTCATGGATAACCTTACTACGCCCCAGTGGTTCTACGATGTTCTTTTCGACATCCGGATGAAGGACATTGATGAAGTGATTTTGCGTGAGACGGAAGAGACGTACGCACGGCGTTCGCAGGAGGTGACGGATAAGGCAGTAGAGGCCCAGGCTCTCCGAGATTCTCTCCTGCAGCGCCGTGCTGAGGCCCTCGAACGTGGTAGTTTCTCAATGAGGCGGCTGAGCAAGGTGGTGGAGGATGTTGAAGACGAGGAGCTGGTTGAGTTAGTCCCCCTCGAGAAGCAGTTGGCGCAGCTGCAGGAGGACCTTGCGGCCGAAGCACAGAGACGGCAGGAGGAGGCTGCAGAGCGGGTCAAGCAGGAGGTGCACGCACTGACAGTGGAAGAGGTGCGCGCGGTACTCGACAATGACTACCCACAGGAACGCATCCCAATGTTCTTCGCGGAACCTGATCAGATTCTCGACATATTCATCAACGTTGAGGAAGGCAACCTATTCCTTATTCAGAACAGCCAGGAACTAGAGGAGGAACTGGAGCGCGTCGCGATGGAGTTTTACCACGAGCAGGAGGAGATGACTACAATGGTGCGGCAGCGTCACACGCAGATGGAGTCGCTGGCGACGCGCATTAGAGAAACTCAGCAACGTCTGAGCCAGCTCGAGGAGCGGCTCGCAGACCTGGAGAGCAGCGACAGCCCACGCGTCGGTGGCAACGGCTTAACGGGGGGCGACGGGGCACACAGGCGAAAGGGTGGTGCAAACGCGCGGAAGGACGCCGATGTGAGTGTGATGAAGCAGAATGTACTGAAGAAGCTCATTGAGCAGGCGGTGGCAGATATATTCCGCTGTATCCACCACCACGCCGCTGTGCGCCGCCCTGATGACGGCGACGGCGCAGATAACCCGCGTCACGCTTTGTTAGGGGTGAAGAAGCCGGCAACGCCGCAGGGCAAGCGGCCGCGGGGCACCACAGGCCATCCTGCTAAGGGCAAGAAAAAGGACGCGGGAACAACAGCGACAGTGCTTGGCGGCGAAGGAGGTGGCGGCCACACAGACGGCGAGGCAAGTGCCAACATGGGGCCGGTAGAGATGCTCACCATCATCGAGAACAAAGTGGATGAGTACCACCGCTACATCACCAACCCCGAGAACGGCGTCGAGGAGTCACTCATTATGAGCGTCATCAAGGCGCGCGACAAGGAGCGCCGTCGTGAGGCACGCATGGTGCACTTGGCGAAGCAGTCGACGGAGCGGGAGGAGCGTAACCAACGGGCACTTGAGCGCTCGCAGGCGCCGGTGGTGCGACGTCGCGGGAAGCAGGTCATGTGGCGCTCACGTCCTCCTGTTGAGACTGTGGAGGGCGCAGAAGCGCGACAAGGCTCCGTCGCTGTAAAAGACGTTGACCAAGACGAGGAGTTCTTCCGCTGATGCAGGAATGAATTCCGCTGTTGCTTCTGTTGCGAGGAAGATGCGTCTGCCTCTCACTATATTTGATGTGTGTTATCTCGGTTTCATCTTTTGTTCGTTGGCATGCTAGAGGCTGAAACAGAAACATACCACGGTGAAAGGGCTGAGATAGGGGCGCTCAATGTACTACTTGCAATATTTGGCTGTTCTTTTTTCTTCTTTTGTCCCTTTGCTGAACAGCTGTCCATGTAGAATTATACAGGGGCGCGAAGCTTGTCATCTTCTGACCTGCGTCTGTGTTGTTGTCGTCGTACTTTCAATCCACACGTTGTGCTGCTGCTGCTGCTACTGCTGCTCGCGTGTGCGGCTTTGTGCCTTTTTGCTCTTTTCTTTGCTTTGCTGTTGTCGCTTATGTTTCTTATTTTCGTGACTGTGAACCGTTTGGAAGGAAGGCGTTGGTGTGGAGTCACCATTGTGGCAAAGGAGGCATGGCGAAGAAGCATCGTGTTAAGCGGCAGAAGTACGTCGAGCACCTCCTCCGCCTGGAGAAAGAGCGGGAGGCGTACTTGGAGAAGCGCACGCGCCCCAAGCGCAGCCGTGAGGAGCGCAACGACGGGGAGCGTTTTGCGGAGGTCGACGAAAGCCGCATGGGGGGCGACAAGAAGAGGGGACGCACGGAGAAGCCGCTCGATGAAGAGGTGCCGGCGGTGACTCCAGTGCCGCACTCTGAAGGAAGTGGCGCTGGTGCCAGCACACTGTTCAAGGAGGAGAAGTCTGGGACGGAAGGAAAAGCGGCTGGCGCGTCACACGCCACCACCACCACCACCACAACAACAACAACAAAAACAACTGCTACCACAACCGCTAAGCGTCTTAAACGAAGGTACTAGTGGCGGCTTTCTTTGCTTACTGTTACTGCTGTTGCTGTTGGTGCCCCAGCTCCTATCGACTTGGTCGTCTNAAACGTGTAAAAGAGGTAAATGGAGAATTCTACTGCTGTTGACAGTATGGTAGCCATTTAAGGCCATTCACCATGCGTGCTTTTTGTTTTGTTTGTTAACAGAGCACGGAAACGATCTATCATCCTCTAGTTTTTGCCTTGGTCTGTACATGGACGCCACCTTGCCTCACCGCTGAACCCTTTTCCATGCACGTTTTCCTCCACATCTTTTCCCGTCTCTCTCTCTCTCTATATCTATACATCCATGGCACCAAAACGCGCACACACATACACCCACAGCTTGTATGGGGAGGCCGAAGGGGCACAACCACAGGGACGATGGGCGGCGCGGCGGTAGGGGCGGGCTGCGCAGCGGGCGCTACAGCCACGCGCCCTCCGCCCACCCCTGTAGTGTACCACTGGCGATGTGGGACTTTGAGCAATGCGACCCCGACGCGTGTTCGGGGAAGCGACTTTACCGCCAGAATGCACTGCGTCTTCTGAAGTTGCGCGAGCCTTTTCACGGTGTGGTGCTCACACCGACCGCGGTCGAAATTGTGAGTCCCGCAGACGCCGGTATCGTCGCACAGTTCGGTGCCGCCGTGGTGGACTGCTCGTGGAAACAGCTAGACGCGGTGCCGTGGCGGCAGATGAAGATGGGCGCCCCACGGCTGCTGCCCTTGCTGATCGCTGCAAATCCGGTCAACTATGGACGACCGTCAAAGCTCAACTGTGCAGAGGCACTGGCAGGCGCGTTGGCTGTTGTTGGCCGCATCGACGACGCGAAAGCTGTCCTGTCACATTTCTCGTGGGGCGCGAGTTTCTTTGACGTGAACGCGGAGCTTCTGGAGGGATACAGCAAGTGCGCTAATGCGGGGGAAGTGGCGGCATTCCAGGAGCGCTACGTCGCAATGGAGGTGCGCGAGAGTGCTGCGCGGCGGGAGGTGGACTTCAACAACGTGGACTTGATGGATGCGGCTCCGCTCAATGCCAAGAGGGGGAAGCTAAAGAACCAGCACGCATGGCGGCGTCGTGGTGGCGACGATGATGACGACGACGATGAAGACGAGAGTGATGAAGAGGAAGAGGATAAAGAGTATAACGAAGCGGAAAGTGAAGGTGAAGAGGGCGAGGAGGCAGAGGAAGATGATGAAGAGAAGGAAGCGAATCTGGAAGTGGTGAAGGAAATGGGTGGTGAAGAGGAGGAACAGCACTAGTGCTCTTTTCATATGCCTGCGGTCAACGATTCTGTCGTGTGTGACTGTCTTTTTGAGGACGGCTGCTGTGCGCGGACGCCTCCAACCTAACTGCTTTAGGAACTGCTAGCTCGTTGCATCTGTTGCCGATCAGCCGCCTTGGGCGCTTCTCTTGTGTGTTGTCTGGGCCGCGACTTTAAAAAATATATTGCCGTATTGCTCTTACAGTTTTACTTCGTTTTTTTTTCTTTCTTTCGTTTCATCCGCGTGTTTCTCTTTCCCCCGCCTTAAAAAAAAAATCTTCCTTGTCCTTGTGGGGGATCCTCTAGCAGGCTGTGTGGCCTCTCGTTGACGCAGAGCAGTACACTCCGCCCCTGGAGCGCTTGGAGGGGGGCCGTGGCGTGACACAGCAATGGAGGGGGAGCGCGACACAGGCGGCGGCAGCAGCAGCAACCGGTACTATGTACGTTACGCTGAGGACTCCACACCCGCTGTGAGCACGCTGGAGAGTGAACACCACAGCGCCACAGATTCTTCGTTCAGGCCTGGACTGGGCGGAGGCGTCATCGACCCGAACGACGATGCGCTGCTGGACGGCCACTTCGATGATGAGGAGATGAGCAACAGCGCGGCGGCTCTTGTGCAATACTCCGCTGCTTCCGAGTCCGAAGGCGGTGAGAAAACGCTGACGGAAGATGGCAGCCGGCAGCACGAGAGAATGTTGTACTCAGGCATGTGTCACACACCGCCCACAAATGCGGTGTTCAGTTTTGCCCGGCCACTTAGCAAAGGGTCGCAGTGGCAAAGTGCTCCGAGGGAGCGGTGCAGCTCCGTGCATATAATCGCCATTTCCTCCGCGACGTCGGATGGGACAATGATTGACCACGGCGCACTAACAGACCAGGTGGTGGTGCAGACGCCGGTCCGCCGACAAAAGTCGCGTAAAGAGGTGGTGAAAGCGTATTTATCACAGTCAGCCAAGGGTGGCCGCTATTTGACCTCTTGGAACGGCACCAGCATCCGCAAATCATTTGCCAGCCCCCACAGAGAAAAGAGCAACAACCCTAACCATGGCCGTGGTGGGAATCATGCAGGGACTTTTCGTTCCAACAGCTGCCCCGTGAGCCATGGAAGCATGTACACACCATGCACATCACAGGAAAGCCTGCCGGTGACGCTCTCATATTTCCCATTGGAGCGGCGCTCATCTCCTGCCTGTGGCATGGGACGCAGCAGGAGTGCGGATCCAAAAACGGGTTCCGAGAGCATGCTCCAGTACCGCCTCGCCGTCATGCATGCGAAGAAGGGAAAATATGCCTTCAGTATCCGAGATCTTTTAGCGAACTGTGATGGTGGCGATGATGATGATGATGATGATGATGAACAAGAGGAAAGTACTGCTATGTGTGAAAGTTAATATCTACAGCTTCATTATCATTGTTTCGTACAAGTCATTTGTCATGTTCCCCTACTGGTCGTGCAAGGGAAGAGGAAAAAGCAACAAACCGTATGAACTGTGGTGCATCACAGCTCATTTCCTCTCATTCTGTGGGTGTCTTGTCGGTATGTAAGAGCAGACATACATCCGAAATCGATGTGTCTTTTTTTTTGTTGAGGTTCTAACTTCTTGTGAGTGTGCTTCATAGTTACTACCCCAGAGTGACGTGCCGTGGGTCGAATGGAAGGCAATGGTGAGCACATAAGTCCTACCACAACAAAAAGTATCACAAGTCGGTATACTACGGTGCATCCACTTGGGGATGTCGCTGCACTCCACGCAACCACGGTAGAGATTCAGCAGCATAGACAACAAAAAGATCAATTCATGGAGCAAAATCTCGATGCCCCATGCCCTGATGAACACGCAGGAGCGACTGCGGCCAACAACAGGTGCGTTCTTGGTCACAAAGGGCGCCCACACGCGCTTCACAGCGAGGCGGTGCGCAACGAGGTACTGGCCACCTATTCTATCACTCGTTCTATTCATTCATTCATTGTGTTCGGTGAAGACGACGAGGATGAATCGTTTTTTTCAGAGCAGGTGAGGGCACACGCACACGCTGATAGATTAGAGGCGGCAGAGATACGGCGTACTCGTACCCTCTTCCATCCCTACCGAGTTGGTAGTGAGAATTCTTCTCTTGTTGGCGGTGGACGCGGCTCGCAGTTGTGTCTCGTCACTGTCGTGGAGGACTTACACCAACAACTCAAGGACGCATGGTCTGCCGGAGAGAAGGTGCGGAGCCTCCGCATCGCTATTTGTGCAGCGCGAATGCTGTCAAAGGTGCTCGTGCCGAGCTGCTACCCATCCGTCTACGTGCTGGTGGCGCGGGTACTGGACACGTTTGGTGATTTGGTGGCTCAGCGTTTGCAGAGCACCGCGGCGGAGAAGAGCTACGTGGTGGCCACGCTCCTCAAGAAGGGGATTGATGCCTCTGAGGACATCATCCCGGCCGAGTCTGTGGAGATGTGCTACAACTGGTTTTTGAAGATTAATTCCATAAGGGAGTTGCTCCCACGTGTCTGCATTGAGCTTTCTCTGCTCAAGTGCTTCAGATACATGGGGAAGAAGACTCGTGTTGTGTCAGAGGCGGTGGTGCGTCGTCTGGCGATGCAGATTCGCGGCATCGCTGACCCACTTGTGGCGTCGCATCTTCGTTGGTATTTGAGCGCGCGTGCGATGGGCGTCCTTAGTAAGCCAGGCTGGGCGACCGCTTCCGCACTGGACCAAGCGGTGCTGGATACACTGGAGGCGCTTGAGCACCTTAGCCCTGTGTTGTTGGAGCAGCTGCAGGGCGCACACGATCTCGGACGGCTGGACTACTTTGATCTCTTCATTCCGGTGCTGCAGTGGCAGCTGGACATCGTGGTGCGTTACGGGGACCCTCTGCTGCTCGAGCAGCGAGGCTTTCTAAAGGAAGTGGTTAACGTCGTCGTGGAGAGGTTGGGTGGGCCTTCGCCACTGCTACTGTGTCTGTGGCGCGCCTTTTCCGCTGAGGCATTGCTATCGTGGTACAGCATGGAGGACCTTTTTTGCATGACACTGCGGTCACTGCCGACACGTATGGTTTCCCGCCTGAATCTTTTAAAAGAGTTGTGCCTATCTTTGGCGAAGATGCCGGTCCTCCCTATTCCGAGGGCACGATGTGTCGCGTTGCTGAGTGCCGCGTGGGATTTTGTCTTGGCAGAGTGGAATGGAGTTCGACACGTCGCAAATGTGGAAGACGTGACGTGCGCACAGAAAGACATCACCATGTGTGGTGAGCTCCTGGCTGCCTGTGGAGCACTCATGCAGTTTAGTGCGGTCCACATGGGGTGGAAGCAGGTGAGCGTGCTCCTCGGTTTCACGCGTGACATCATCGGTGACATGTACGACATGAGCAGAAGTGGGCTATCGGACATAATTGCAACGAACTTGTTTGATATGCTCTCTGCCCTCATCTTAGTGGTAAGTCCTTCCCTCTTCCTTGAGTCGGAACATTTTATGCTGCTGGTGCAGAAGCTTACATCACCAAGTCGACGTCAGCTAGCCTGTACGCTGCTTCAGCTTATTGCTTCAAAGTCTGTGAACTGTGAGGAAGCCTTGCCTCCACTTACCACGGAGAAATTGCTGCAGGTGTGCAGAATGCTTCACGATGATCTTCCCGGGGCCAGCAAGATGGTGGACGTCCAGGAGGAGATGCATATGGTGGAAAAGGTGTTTCTCCAGAAGCTGGAAAAAATGAACTCGTCAGAGGAGGCGCTACAGTTCATGTGCGATGCTCGTCGCTTACTGCCACGCATTGATGCTGTTAGGTCCGTAGCTATTACACGGGCGCTGGGGTTTGCTGATGGGTGTGCAGCCAGCTATTCACAGGGGAAGAAACGTGGTGCAATAAAGGCGTTCTTGACATTTTGTATGGTTACGGTTCCTGCGCTAACGAATCCAATCGAGCGCCTTCATTTATCGGTGTTGACATCTGGTGTGGCGTTTCGTTGTGGTATGATTGTCATTGGTGAGAAGGCGCTGGACTTTGCACTGGAGACGCTTGAGGCGTATTCTGCTGGTGACAGCTGCAACATCTACGCAGAGGAACATAGCCGAGGCGAGAACGGCGTTGCGGAAGTGGCTGTGCATCTGTTAGAGGTTGGGATCGCTGCCCCAGCGAAGGGAGAGCATCTACGCTACGTGAAGCGAGTACTGGAGTGGTGTGCATCATTTGATTGGATGCCACTTTCTCTTTCTTATGGACGTGTTGTGTTGTCTGCACTGTGGCTCACTGCGCGTGCGTCGCAAGGCATGTTCTTTACCTTCCCCCTATGCCGGACGGAGCGCTACAGCAAAGATCCGGCGTTTGTGAAGGCGTCTGCGGGACTCTGCACCGAGGCGGCGGAGCAGCTGTTGAGATGGCTGCAGAACAGTCGTAGCACCTTATCGACCATGCCTGTGGAATCAAAAGTAGCAGCGGTGAGTTTGGCAACAATGGCTCTTGAGATATTTGAGAGTACTGCTGTTGCTATTGGCAGNTCGCACCTGGTGGAGGGGACTCTTACCTCTCTTAGTAGGGCTGCGTGGCAGGTGGCGAACGAGTGGTCCCTGTGGAGTGGATCGTTGGATTTGTCTCGGCATATTGTGCGCAGTGCGCAATACGTGCAGCAAAAAGTGGATGCTGCTGTATTCAATGCTATTCTCTCCTGTGAGTAGAATGTTTCGTTATGTGATTTGTCGTTATTTACGTGCCGGCTAATCCCTTAGTCTCTTAGTGTTGGTATTGTTTACTGAAGTTTTCTTATCTGTCGCGCCTGTTAGCGCGTCTATGTGCGTAAGTGTATGTGATTGCAAGTAGAACTATTCCTCCTCACGTGCCTCTCTGAAAGAGGGGTCGCCGCATGCATCACCCTTTGTTGTCTCCTGCACTTCCTCCCGTACACGTCTGCGTTCTGCATTTAACACGCTGGCGGGATATGCGCTATGATGTTGTATTGTATTATAGATTCAAATACGCACAAACAGGACAGTATATTGAGGGATATCTAGGGGACAAGAGACAGAGAGGCAGAGAGCAAGGCACAATGGGCTCCCCTATCATTATTCGCTTGATTGTGACGACATACTTCATGATCCTCATGATCATTCACTGGATTATAGCGTGGATTCTTCAGGTCATTCTCATGGCTGTGACGTACCCGTTTGTAAGCCGAGAGGTGCAGCAAGATTGGTGCGGGTACATCTTCCACGCCGCAAACTTCTTTAGCGCCGACTTCCTGAATCCATTTTGGAAGCACCACATACTAAAACCGTTCCCCGAGGTAAAGGATAAGAAACTCATCGTGATGATGAACCACTTAAGTAATGCGGATCCGTTTCTACTGGTGAGGGTGCTGTTCCCACGTGACGCCTCGTGGGTTGCAAAGGACGAACTCTTCCGTGTCCCATTTGGGGGATGGTGCATGGGTAACGCAGATGATTTGAAGGTTCACTTTAAGAATAAGAAAGCGGGATTTGACACAATCAAGGGAACAGTCGGCGTCATGATGGAGGAGGCACGCAAGAAGCTGCGCCGTGGCCGTCCCATCGCCATCTTCCCTGAAGGCATCCGAAACAAAAATCCGGAGGGCGGCCTGCTACCGTTCCGTCTCGGTTTCTTCACACTTGCTGTGGAGGAGGGCGCCACAGTTGTCCCTGTGGCAATCAGCGGTACACAGGACTGCTGGCCTCGCGGGTCGCCATTGCTGGACAAGGCCGACACATACTTCTCGTGTGGCGAACCCATCGACGCGTCGATGTTCAAGACAGCAGAAGATCTGCGGGACTACGTTTGGCAAAGGCTGACGGAAATCCGCGAGTCCCACCCGGACCGACAAGGGGCGAAGAAGCAGCAGTAGCTTTGGTGTGAGTGACGCACATCGTCTTTATGCCTCGTTGTTACGCTCCCACATGGCAGAAAATCGCTTTTTTTGTGTGTGCGTTTTGACCTGAGGGGAAGCGTCAGAGTAACGAGTGTGTGTGGGCATTGGCTTAAAGCTGCCTTATTGGTCTAATGTTTTATAATTGCTTTTTTTTTGTTTGTTTGTGTGCGTGCGGGTATGTGTGTGCAGGGGCTTGCTGGCCTCTCATGTACATGCTTGCTCATCGTTGCAGCCGCCATGAATCACTCTGCTTTGTTTTTGTTTTGTTCTTCCGTTCTGCGTTTTCCGCGGTGACCACCACCACTGCGTTCATCCCCCGTTCCTAGCACGCAACACCACGCTCTCTGGGATTGTCGATCGATTGGGAGAGAAGCCAAGACATTGACAGCATACACACATATACACACGAAACAAACACACACACACATAAATACCCAGGCAGGCTGAAGCTATTTTCCATTTTTCTACACCATCCTTGAGGTCAAATGACCACATACTACGTGCCTTCTTCTGTTGAGAATGGGGAGTATCCTCTGTCCCAGCCTTCTGGCCACGGTGACTTTGATCTATATCTTACTAACGGTGGTGCAAAAGAGGCTGTGACAAACATCCTTCCACCACGGCAGATTCAGGATCCATTGCCGCTACCGCCGCGGCAGCAACAGCAGCATCAGGAGGAATCTCACACACGGGAGTCGAGGACGTCATCGCATCGAGAACATGGACGTGCAGAGGTTTCCTATGTTGTTGACCAGCTGGTGGATGAGCAGCAAAAGGTGCTGGCACTCCAGGAGCAGATTGCTACGCTCTCTAACGATCTGAGTGAGGCGCGGTCTGCGTCTCGCGGTGCCTCGCATGAATCCCTGCAGGATTCCGGACGCTACTTTATCCGCACCACGAACAGTGGCGCAAATCCTCCTTCCGGTGACGCGCTGCGTAAGTTGCTTGAACTCTATGGTGTCATAGACAACTCAGAGGGTGCTCCAATGTGGACCAGGGAGGAAATGAAGGCGTTGCAGTGTGCTCCGCTGCAGCAACTGGTCTTTCTGCGGAAGAAACTCCTTGCGTCCCTGTTTGGCCTCTCAGACGCTATCGTTCGACGACGTTTGTGCATCACTAAGTCACGTAATGTACAGGATAAGACCCAAGAGGAGAACAACGTGATCATCATGGCGTCCCTGCACCGTTTGTTGGGGGAGGCGTTTTATATCAACTCCGTGACTGGCGCAAAGGAGCTCTACACCTTGGCGGAGGGAATCTGCGGGATCGAAACTGAAGTGTTCGACGCGGCGTGGTACAATATTCGTGAAGTTACGGACGACGGCTTACTCTTTAATTCATATGAAAAACTCCAGGAGTTTGTGCAACACCCCTCCAAGCACCTGACGAAGCAGTGGCGTAAGCGGTACGAAGGCTCCATGCGAAAAATACTACTGGCTGCTGTGATAAATTCCAAAGGGACCACACTGCTGCAGACACGCCGCAAGGAACTTGAGGTGATTGCGCGTGAGGAACTGTTCCATACAGCGTTGCTTCGCGCAGTGCAGGGTCGTGATGTGGTGCCACAGAGCATCCACTGTTTTCCCCCTGAAGGGATTCCAGCAGCACAGCCGTGCGAGGTTGAGGTTGAGGACCGCCCATCCCCACCGATGGTGCCAAAGGGGCCCTCTGTGTCGTCGCGGGGGGAGCCACCGATGCGGTCCCCGCGCGTCACTGTTTCACCGTTGAGTTCCGCACGCATAGCGCACTGTCGATGGAACCCCAACCGTGTACCTTTCCAGCAGCAGCAACAGCAACACGCGCTTTCCCGCGATGACACGTCGCTGAGTCGTGTAACGCGTGAGGCGCCTGTTTCCATCAGCGCGCAGCGGCAGCGGAACGTGGGGGCGGGGGCGCCCTCCAGGCGCCGCACGGCGGAGAGCCTCGGGCTTCCATCGACGTACACGACGCCTCGTTCGGGGTGGCAGACGCCATACACGCAGCGCACGCCGACCCCCACACGCGTGGACTCCCGCGCTACCACGCCAAAACGCCACAACAACATGAACTTGCGCCCCTACGATGCCGACCCCTGTCGCCTGGTAAGCATGCCGGTGCGAGTGACGTCGTCCCCGCTCCGCCAGCTGGAAGTGGAATACCTCAACAGCCGTCACAACTTACAAAAAGCAGTACCAGCAACGATAGGGCGACGATGAGAGTCTTCGGTTTCCTCCAGTGGAGTGACGACACGACGGCCCGTCAATCGCACATGACCTCTGTTTATAAAACGGGGAAATTGGGGAAGAGAGGGTGCATAACTCTACGAAACTAAGGAATATTGTTTTTCTTTTCTTTTCGTTTTCGTCCAATGATTGATTTTCCTCTGTTGATATCTTTTTTTTTTCCGTTTCTCCATAGAATCTTCTGTTGTTTGTCTCACCGGATGTCAGCGTTAGCCTCCTCCCTTTTTTTTTTCTTTTTAGTATCGGAATGAAGTAAACCTCCGCCTTGCCACCGGTGCGTGTGCGTTTTGTGTGCTGCCCGCGGGTGCGGCGCTCACCCCCCACTGCACATATCCCTCATTTCTCCCCCCCCCCCTTCTTTTCTCTGAAGCTGCAGCAAAGAGCGGGTGCTAGAAGGCAAAACCAAAAAAGGCCAAGAGAAGAGGGAAGCTGACGGGGAACGTATCTCCTTGAGGCGCCATGTCGGACTTGTATGACGTTCTGGGCATCGTGCGCGAGGCGGGGGACGACGCGATTGCAAAGGCGTACCGTCGCCACTCGATGGCGTTCAACCCGCAGTGCAACCCCGACCACCCCGACCCAAAGACGCTGGAGAAACAGTTCAAGCACGTCTCGCAGGCGTACGTCGTGCTGTCGAACCCAAAGGCACGCGCTATCTACGACATGTACGGCGAGGAGGGCGTGCGGCATGGCGGCACCGGGCAGCAGGGGATTCCCAACGGGATTGACATCGACGCAGTCGACCCGTACGCTGTGTTCCGCCGCTTCTTCGGCGTGGAGAACCCGTTCGAGGTGATTGGCGATGTCAGTGGGCTGCGTAACAACCGGCACGAGTTTTTCAGCAGCACCGCCGTCATCCCAAAGAACCTCGTGAAGGTGCCGCCGATCGAAGTGCGGCTGCCCATCACGCTGGAGGACGTCTTCTACGGCGCGGTGCGGCGTGCCACGTGGAAGAGCTGCCACGTGCGCCAGGGACAGGAGACCATCACGGAGGAGTGCTTTGACCTCCGCGTGCGGAAGGGTGCGCACACCGGCGACAAGTTTATTGTCGATGGGAAGGGCAACTGGAAGGAGGGTTTCGCGCGCGGCGACGTTGTGGTGGTGCTGGAGCTGCTGCCGCACGACCGCTTTCGCCGCGAGGGCGACGACCTTGTGGTGGTGATCCCGATCACGCTTAGCGAAGCGCTCTGCGGCGTCACGCTGACGGTGCAGACGATGGAGGGGAGCGATATCACGGTGCTCATTGACGAGATTGTGCACCCGAAGTACCGCCGCCGTGTTGTGGGCCAGGGGTTGACGCGCAGCGAGGACCCCTCGAACCCGCGCGGTGACCTCATCGTGGAGTGTGACACGAAGTTTCCTGGCTTCCTGACGCTGGAACAGAAGTCCGAATTGCGCCGCATTCTGGAAGCAAAGTGAGATTCTGCTGCTGGTAGGTGACGATGACAGAAAAACTTCAGGAGGGGATTCCGCCAACACCCAGAAGGGTGGCTGACGGAGAATGAATGCGTGAGGGACGACAATGAGAATTATTTGGGGGAGAGGAGTTCTCATCAAATGGATGTACACCCCTTCCCATCATGTAGAGACTGTGAGCCACTCGACCGGTGCTGTCATTGTGTTTTTTTTTGTCCTCTGTTCTATGGCTTTACTGTGTTGTTGTCTGGATGTGTTAGCTTGCATTCCTTATTCCTCCTCACCTGCGTTGGCCGCATAGAAAGAGTACGGCATCAGCCTCATTTGGACTAGATCTAGAAGCTCTAACCCTCTTCTTTATTCCTTTTCCAGAAGAATAACGAAGCCATGATTTCTGTGCCATCATTCCGTTCCTCTAGTATGAACTCAAGGGAGGTGTCTGTGAAGGATGTGCAAGATACTACGAGAGAGGACACTGAGACCAAATACAGTGAGGACTTTGAAGATTCACCAGCAAAGGAGCCTCTCAGCGCTCAGAGCAGCGCAAAAAGTACCAGCAAGGCAATCGATGAGGGTGCTGATGTTCCCAAGAACACGGAGGCCAGCAGCAGGAAGAGCAGCAGCAAAGCGATTGATGAGGGTGCTGATGTTCCCAAGAACACGGAGGGCAGCAGCAGGGCCAGCAGCAGGAAGAGCAGCAGCAAAGCGATTGATGAGGGTGCTGATGNTCCCAAGAACACGGAGGGCAGCAGCAGGGCCAGCAGCAGGAAGAGCAGCAGCAAAGCGATCGATGAGGGTGCTGATGTTCCCAAGAGTCCAGAGGGCAGCAGCAGGAAGAGCAGCAGCAAAGCGATCGATGAGGGTGCTGATGCTCCCAAGAACACGGAGGGCAGCAGCAGGGCCAGCAGCAGGAGGAGCAGCAGCAAGGCAATCGATGAGGGTGCTGATGTTCCCAAGAACACGGAGGGCAGCAGCAGGGCCAGCAGCAGGAAGAGCAGCAGCAAAGCGATCGATGAGGGTGCTGATGCTCCCAAGAACACGGAGGGCAGCAGCAGGGCCAGCAGCAGGAAGAGCAGCAGCAAAGCGATTGATGAGGGTGCTGATGTTCCCAAGAACACGGAGGGCAGCAGCAGGGCCAGCAGCAGGA